TTCTTTCTCTCTCTCTCTCCTTAAACCCTCCAAATACTTCACCGAGGCAGGCTAAGATTTCGGGTATTTGACTTGGATGCGAGCTCCACATCGGGTTTATCTCCTTTGTTCCCAGGTAAGGATTCATTCCTTTCACTCTCTTTGCTTGAATTTTGGTTGAATCGAACCTCCATACTAATCTTTGATTCTCGGATTTCAATGAATCTCTGAAAACAGGTTTTGATTTCCCCCCTCAAGTTCGAACACTTCTTTTGCGATTCGAGTCTATCCCTTTAATCTCAGGTAAGCTTGCTCTCCTCATGGCTTCAATTGTATCTAGTTGATTCTTGAATTTTGATTTTGAGGGTATAGCCGAAACCCTAATTTGGTTGTTTGGTTGATTTTAATTCTCAGATCTCTGGTTCGAGTACCCTCTTGCGATTCTTCTTCATCAAGTTCTCATTCACCTTTGATTCCAGGTAAGAGTTAATCCTCATGGCCGTCAAACTCAGTTGAATTTAATCCTTAGTTTTGGTTCTTGGAGAAAATTAAAACCCTAAATTGATTTTTTAGGGATTTCGACTATGAATATTTTTTTCTCATTGATTGCGCCAACTCTTGTTCTCTTCTCAAATCTAACAGAAACTCAAGGCATTTGCTCCTTTGACTTGGTTATATGTCGGATTTGAATCAAACTTATATACCCTCTTTTTTATCATTGCACTTGTATATGGGGCTCGATTGTATGTTGGATTGTTGGTCGTGAATAAGAACTGAATCGAGTTCTCAATTTGAGGGAAATATTGAGTCTCTAATTCTTGAGTTTGTGCATGACCGAAACCCTTTACTTTAATTTGTTGAGCCTCGAGCTTTTGGTTGCATGCGGAGTTTGAATTCCTTCAAGATATTTGGCCGAGGACTGGACTTGTCGTCTTGGCTTCATTAGTTTTGAGGTTTGACTTCGAACAAGAATCCAACACTGTTTTGTAATACCCAAAGTCTTAGCCTTTTGACTTGGGTAGGGCCGAACTGAGGCTTCGTTTGGTTTTGTAATGCCCAAAGTCTTAGTCTTTTGAATCGAACTTCTTCGAAGCTTAATTTTGAAAATTTTTTGTCACTTTCGAACTCTTGGTATGTTTGGTTGTCTGCATGACTTGATGTCACTTGATTCTGTTAGGAATCTTGATCCCAAGATTAGTTTATTTTGATGATAACAAATATTATATGTTGTGTGTATTACGTGCTAATATTTGTTTTGCAGTATCAGAGCTATATTAACAATTATATTCAAAGAGATACTCAAGACATAGATGAGTTCAAGGCAAAATGAAGCAAAGAAGAAGATATACTTTATTGTCTAAATGTAATTTTATATTTTTTTTACTTAGAAATTTGTACAAGCCTTGATCACTCACACACATGCACACACATAGTGTTAGAATACACTAACACATGCTTAGTGTGTTGGTTAACAATAGAAATCCCCTATGTTAGCCATTAGAGTTTATAGATATTAAGTGAGTCTTAAAATATTTCATTTATATCCCTTAACAATTAGAATCTGGAAAAACTCAAAAGATCAAAGTTGTAGTTCTCTTCAAGAGCTTTCTAACAAATCTTAAATCACCTCATTCCGATATTGGATGAGAAAGTTACAGTCAAAATACTGAAGAGAAAATTCCAAAATCTGTGAGTTTACAGTGTAGTCGACTACTATGCCTTGTAGTCAACTACTAAGCAATTTTATGACTTCACAGAGTCTGTTTAGACTCAGTGTAGTCGACTACTATGACTTTTAGTTGACTACAGATGCAGTTTTTCTAGATTTTAGGTTTTAAATAAGTGACTGTTTATAGCCGTTTTGTGGACGTTAATTGGGTTTAAAATTATGTCATTTCAGAGGCTATAAATAGGTTTAAACATTAGAAAACAAGCACCAAGTTTTGCACTTATAAGATTCATATATTGTGCAAATTAACTCTCTAAACTTTCAGCTTTTCAATCTATTTTTCTATAAAATAGAGTTTCTGATATTGCCTTTGTTCCTATCATTCTTAGAGCTTGTTTAGACAATATTCAGAGAGTTAAAAAGATTGATAAGCCACTGTTATACATTCACATCTATATCAAGGCTTATAGGATTGGAATTGTACATTGCTTCAAAGAAAGGTTCTCTCGGTTTATGAGAGGGGTTGATCTCTTGGTCTAGAGATCGGTGTGACGATTGGCATGATCTTATCAATTGAGTTTGCAATTTGCATGGTCTTGCAAATTGGTCAGGTTTGCTTTTGATTTTGTATGGTTTCAAAATCATAGTGGAAACTCTCAAGCGGGATTTTCTTGGGGACTGGATGTACACCGGGGAGGTGGAACCAGTATACATGCTTATGTTTGTGATTGTGAATTTCTGAGATTGCCATTTTTCTTTGCAATTTATAATCTACTTTGCATAAATTTTAAAAGAATACTATTCACCCTCCTCTAGTGTTCTAGTGTATCTATTTCAGATCCTACAGATTCTTGTTCATAATCATGCATACATAGTTTTGAAACTCAAGTTAATATCCATGCTCGAATTTTGGATGATTTTGTGAGCTTGTCGATTGATATGTAAGGCTTCACTTTTGGTCTCATACGAGATTTGAACCGTACATTTGAAGTATTTGGTTGTGTATACCCTCGGTTGAGTATTCAATCGGGTTCGAACATGTTATGATGATGACTGAGGTTTGGTTTTGTTTGAGAACCAAAACTTGAGATGGATACTTGATTGTGCGCATCAATTTGGTTTATCCCCTTGTATGGTTGTATGTGGAGTTTGGATTAAACCCTTGAGACTTGTGACCATGGCCGAACCCTTAGTTGGTTTTGGTTGATAACCGAACTTATTGCTTGCATTTGGTTGTTCGACTTTGACATTGGATATATCCTAAAGCTTGCCTCTAGGTAATTGACTATGAACCGAGACACCCGAGGCCGTTATCTCAATTTTATGTATTGATCGAACTTGGGCTTTTGGTTTTGATGTCTGTAGGTTTCATTGGATTTTTAATTAGAAAATTCTATATTTATAGAATTTTAGCTAAATTTCACAATTTCCCTTTTAATCCCTGATTTATATACCTCGATTCTCGATATACCTGAATTACTAACTTTCATTTCAAATTAGCTATGTCGCTGAAGAAGTCGTGTATTTCGAGGGGTCGATCGGCTACTCAGCCACCTGAGAGGGAGGCTTCATCGTTCGGGGGTAAGTTTTCATCACTTTTGTTCGTAAATTCAAAATTGATATTCTGAATATTGCACCCTCATTTGCTCTCCTTTGTGAGGCATTTGGGAAGAGCTGATACCCTCCTTTGCGGGGGGTCAATGCTTAAAATATGTGTTTTGCTTGGTCAAAACACGTCTCAAGGCAAAAAGGACGATTTCACACTGTATCACACTCCGTAGGGCAGGGTATATTGTCACGTTATCTACGTGACAATGTACATTATCCCTCGTGTGTGTGTAATAGTTGAAATCGTCTCACCAATTATAAGGTAGTGACTCTATCTCACGGATTTGTGAAAAGAGTTTGACTCCTTGTATTGCCTTGGAAATATTCTTCAAATTGTGTTTAATAAAATACACATTATTTGTTTCAGTCGAATTCCTCTCAGAAATGTTCTCATCTCGTGCGACAAGTGGTCACAGTGGTGAGGCTTACGCCTCCGCTAAGGATGCACCGCTCATGACTGTAGTTCCTCAATTCAATCCGCATAGGCCTGAGGAAATTCCTCATCTTGTGCGAGAGGGGGATCATCGTACACTGCGATGACTGATCACCAACGCCCCGCTCACTAAAGACCTAAGCTTCACTCAGAATTTAAGGAAGAATGACTATCTGTTTGGCGATTCCGTCAAAGATACAGCTGTTTTGACTCTCGTGGATGAGAAGTGGTTAAATAAAGATGGTGAGAGTTTGTTATATCTTCCCCCGATCCCTCACCATTATTCACTCGCACGCTTAAAGACACAAGCCGTGAAGTGGGAGATGTCTAAAGTCTTACAGAAGAGCAGGATGAGTTCACTGCGGGTACAATACCCATCAAAAGACTTCAAGCTCTAGTGACAGGAATTATATCTGTGGACTCCATCCTGACATGTTGGGCCAACAACCATGCCGCCGAATGAACTGTCAATCATCGCCAACACGGTGAGGAATCCGTCTCGCAAGGTTGGGAAGATAACTGCTTACAAAGGGCCATAAATGTTTTGGCTGGGTTCATTCCTTAGACAACAGATGGTGGGCTCGTATGACAAGCTATGTTCTTGGCCGATGGAGTGTGGAACTGAATGCTAGCGGATTGTATACGCCCGTTCACACTAGTATGTATGGATTGCCAGTCAGTGTACATCATTTCCTTGCACTGCTGGAACTTTACAACCCAGACACTAATACCTTCCTGACCAAGCATGAAGAGTTGGGGCTGGCCCTACATGAGATGCAGAAGGTTTTGGCTCTGCAGATGGACGACATCCCTTATCAAGATTATTTTCCCTCCTGTCGTCAATTGAGTCAGATGAAGATGGCCTCCCCTGCCGGCTACGACACGTTGTGGGATCTCATGTATCATTATCAGATGGCTTTAGCGGGCATCGGTATCCTGGAGAGGAAGAAGTTCCTACAGCTGAGCTTGAAGTAATTCGCTGACTATTTATTCAAGCATTTGGAGGATGGCTCTAGTGAAGTGGTTTGTGAATTAGAACCTCTGACTCCCTCAGCAATTAACGAACTTATTAAGAAGATCAGTGCCTAATCATATACTACTACTGCTACCGAGGGTAAGTTTCTGATGGGGACTAAGTTCTAGACTTTTCTGTGGCACGCACAGAAGCGGATTCAGCCCATGACTCTTCTGGCAGGATATCTCGCTATTTGGCTGAAGAAGTACATCGTGTCGCACTAATTTTTTGACTCTTTACCAATAGAAGTCCTCCTTCCAGCCGTCTAGCTTGCTTATGGGAAAGAACTCTCCTTACTTCTAGTGATGGTTGCTGACATACATTACGGGCTCTGGCAATTGGTCACCGGATTCACACAGGTGGGAAGCAAGTCGACAGCCGAGATCCCTACCACCAAGGTTGAATTTCCCTATACCTATCTGATGTTGTGGTTAGTTCTTTATCGCCCTGACTTGATGTCAGCGTCGAGTATCGTGGATCCCTCTATTCCTCTGGTGCAGTTGTTAGAAGATTATAAATGGAAACGCGGTTGTTCCTTGAGGTGAGGCGACAGCTCCAGATTCATAAGTGCTGGGAGTTCTTTAAATGCTTCCCATGATTCTCCAACCAGTACGATGATTTGCTGATTGATGAGGAGAGGTCAGGGACGGATCGCACTTCCCTCGATGTGGGCTGCTTCAGATGGTTGATGAATATTCGCCCTGGGTATCTTGTCTTCAGAGTGAAGAACCACTATCACATAGAGCCTTATCTATTATGTTGGTTCGCTGGTCAATTTGGTTACGACCAACTGTATGTTGGAAACCCAAACCGAGAGTTGAAAACTCAGGGCGCATAGGTTCACGGTCTTATAGATGGTACCTGAGCATGGCTTTGGAGTGTGGCGGGTTACATAGGTACCATATTCAATCTTCCCACCGCAGAACGCAAGCTAGAGCTCATATCCCTCTGCTGTAGATGGCTCATTTCCGCCAATGCGCCCTCTAAGCTGAAGCAGATTTCAGAGCTAGAGGCTGAAGAAGAAGCCTGGGTCGCAACTAGGATTGTTCATGAGGTTGCGCTTTTGAGTCGATGAAGGAAAGAGCCTGTCGGACCTTTAGGTAAGGGCAAACAGGTGGTCGAGGAGGAAGAGGAGGTGTTTCCCACTGATGAAGCTGAAAGCCCCAAAGAAGATGTAGCTAGGGGTGAAGGCATGAGAGTTAGCAGCAATGAAGAAGAACTCAGGATAGGTCTGCCAGATTCCTTCTTCTCCTCAGGATGGTTCATGAGCCTGGCGATCGCTCGTCGAACTTGCCCATCGATTTGCCTAAGCCTCCAAAGGCTTTAAAGAAGCTGAGGCAGAAGGTCTTATTTACTTATCCTAACAAGATGATGGTTGACCTTCTAGTTGGGGCTACTGATGAAGAAGAGGAGGAACCCCGCCTCCTCCATCGAACAAGATCCTGATATTTAGCTTAGGTTCCCCCAAGGGTTGATTTGTGCACCAAGTTTAGACATGAAAGACCTGTCGTTTCTAAGGAGGCTCGACCTGCGAAGCGAAAGAAGGTGGTGCACAAGCCACATACAGAGTTACCGGCTTTTGAGGGGGAGCCGTTCGGTGATATTCCAGGAGAAGGTAACATCTCACCTTGTAATTCTTCGTACTTCGAGCCAGTGATTTGCTGAATATATATAACTCATTATCGATCCACGGAGAGTCTTGAAGAGGGTGAGCTTCCATATGATTCTCCTTCTCCTAGTTTTACCTATTCTGAGAGGTTTGGTTTCACGCAACAGATGCGCGAGACCATGGGCGGGGAGCTTGATAGTGCTGAAGCTAACACAGTTATTGAATTGGCAGGGGTGTGAGTGCCGAACCTAGCCCAACTACTGAAACCACTACAAGAACGTTAAGCCTAGGTATATTTAACACCAATAGTACCTCATTCAGGTGGCAATTAAGAGAATTAAACGATTCAGAGTCTGTGCCTCCCCTAATTGTTTCTGTGCTTCATGCTCTTTTAGAGAAATTAAAGGGAGCGGGACTAAATGCCGAGGCCGCGGAACCTACTACAGCCACCGAAGGTGAGCACGACCTCCACTTGTCGTGAACTCTGCTTTTCCTTCTTTGGCTTAAAATTAAAGTTTTTTGTGATATCACAATGGAGGGCTCAACCGAGGAGGAAGCTTTCTATGGTGGGCATCTCGGTTAGTTTGGTGAACATGCATTCGATTCAGCGGTGAGCTTCTCCAAGGCTAATCATAGATTGCTCGCTGACATGTTGGTAGATCAAGCTGATCGCAAGACTGCAGGACCCACCATTAAGGCTGGTTCATCTACTGGTATGGATCTTACCCTGACATTCTGTTGTTCATTTATCGATCTTTATTTAATCACAAGAGAGTTTTAATTGTAGGACCAGCCACTAGGGCTAATATGGCTACAATCTCAGGGGTTTCAGAGTAACCCAAGGACTTAGGCGCTTCGGGTTTGGAGCAATTCATTGTTGAGACTCAACTATATATCCTCCAATCTGAGACTACCGTCCTTTTGGACTCAATGCTCGTGGAGGCTTCAGCTAAAGCCAGAGTTAACACTACTGTCCGAGCTATGTAACCAACAGATGGAGCTGGTACATCTACAACTGTTATGTCTGTGACAATTCCATCTGTTCACGAGGTTAGACTGGCGGGACCAAGCGCGGGGCATCAAACTGAAGGAGCTTCTGCCAGCGTTGGTAAGTTTGGCCTCATGACTTGTCTCATGATTCTGGCTATATCAATCATGTTCTTTGGAATATTGATATGTCCTTTTTCTATAAAGCTTTCGGGAGCGTTCACCACATTGGTTGCCCGAGGATATTTTTTAACTTTCGGGAGCATTCACCACATTGGTTTCCCGAGAAGCACCGCCGAAGTACAATTGCCACACCTGCTGATGAGAGATAGTGTTGATTTCAGTTCATCGCTTTGACGTAAATCAAGAACGGTTTACCCGACTTCGGTGTGACGAGGACAAGAGGATTCGCTAGATATGCTTTGATATCTTCGAAGGACTTCTGACAGGTGTCATCCTAAATAAATGGCAGCCCTTCTTCGTGAGCTTGGATAATGGTAGCATTTTTTGGATATGTTCGAGATGAACTGGTGGATATAAGCCAATCGTCCTTACAATCTCTAAGTTCTTTGAGATTTTTTGGGGGTTGCGATTCGTGTATTGCCTTTACTTTATTGAGATCAATATGGATACCCTTCGTGGTGACATCGAATCTAAAGAATTTACCGCTGGACATTCCCAGGAAGGACTTGTTAGGGTTCATCTTCAATTGGTGACTCTGCATGAGATCGAATATTATCCTCAAGTCTTTGATGTGGTCGTCTTTGTTGCGGCTTTTCACGACCAAATCATCAACATAGCATTCGACAGTCTTCCGGAGATGTTTCTTGAAAATCTTCATCATTGCCCGTTAGTATGTGGCACCTACGTTCTTCAAGCTGAAGGGCATAACCGTGTAGCCGAAAATGCCAATG